GCGGGGTGCGTGGGTGAACCTGGCAAATGCTGTGCCCCCTAAAGAACCATTCTCACAGGGCACGGAGGGTCTGAGGGCATCTGGGTGTCCGGACAGGAGCCCACAGGGGCTGAGGGCAGTGAGCGCAGCCAGGGGCTGGCGGGAGGCGGGGAGCTGCCGCTGCTCAAGGGTCCAAGAGTCCTTCCCCTCCCCTCCCCTCCCCTCCTCTTCCCCTCCCCTTTGCCGGGCGGACAAAGCCCTACCGTGGGAGGGTGCTGTGCGCCTGGAGACACTTTAACCATAGAACCGGTCCACCTGCTGTCACAATGACGCATCGATTCGCTCACATTCCAAGTCTGCCCTTTAAACACCGTGTTTCCTGGCCACGTGGTTCTCCTCTGACTAAGATAAAATGCTCTCTCTGGAGCAAAGCGACCTTCACTGACTGCAAATCTAGAGGCAGAGCCGATCGCTGTTTCATGGTGGACATTAAACACTTCCTGTCAAACAGCTCAGGGACCAGTTCCAAGTAAAAAAACGTCTATATCTCACTCCATGTGCTCCCGTTACAGATACAAATCTGCGTGTAAAAAACTCACACTATTTACTGAAAAAGCGTGTGCACATTTCGTGTTACTATACGTGTGATCATATAAAATCATTCACATGCAAAAAGCCTAGAAATAAAAGCGGATTCAGGAATTGTGTGAAGATGTAAGAAGGCTTAGTAATTTTTTAAAAAAGCTTTCAATAAAATTGCCCTTTTATTCCCAACAGAAAAGGGGGAAAATGCCAATAACGGTAAAGCAGGCTTTTCTCCCGTTGTTGGTGAATAGGCCAGAAGCGATTATTTGAATTAAAGTCACTCTGTGCTGAGCTTGTAATTCTAAAAGGAGTTTCCCTGTTCAGCACCAGGACTTAACACAACAGTTACAACCAGCTCTTCCCGGCTCTGCCGTCTCCCAAACGGCCCCGGCGCCCCCCGCTGGCGAAGGGAGGAAGCGCAGCCGCAGCCACGGCCCCAGCCGCAGCGACTCCCACGGGAGGTCCTCGGGGTTCCAGGTCCGGCCTGAGACCGACCCTCCCCATCACCAGGCCCGGCCTGAGCCCGACCCTCACCATCACCCGGCCCGGCCTGAGACCGCCCCTCCCCACCACCAGGCCTGGCCTGAGACCGACCCTCACCACCGCCAGGCCCGGCCTGAGCCCGACCCTCACCATCACCCGGCCCGGCCTGAGACCGCCCCTCCCCACCACCAGGCCTGGCCTGAGACCGACCCTCACCACCGCCAGGCCCGGCCTGAGCCCGACCCTCACCATCACCCGGCCCGGCCTGAGACCGCCCCTCCCCACCACCAGGCCTGGCCTGAGACCGACCCTCACCACCGCCAGGCCCGGCCTGAGCCCGACCCTCACCATCACCAGGCCCGGCCTGAGACCGACCCTCCCCACCACCAGGCCTGGCCTGAGACCGACCCTCACCACCGCCAGGCCCGGCCTGAGCCCGACCCTCACCATCACCAGGCCCGGCCTGAGACCGACCCTCCCCACCACCAGGCCCGGCCTGAGACCGACCCTCACCATCACCAGGCCCGGCCTGAGCCTGACCGTCACCATCACCAGGACCCGGGCAGCCACTGCAGGACGCAAGGGAAGAAACCCTCATCCAAACATCAGAAAACAGCCCTCCCTAAGGTCGAGCCCATGGCCCCCTTTCCTCGCGTGGAAACAAAGGTCGTTTAGGAAAACAGCTGTTGCCGAATGCATTTCTCTCTCAGGAAAGCGTTAGTGACACAATGACCCCGGCAACCCTCACAGGGCCCCTTCCTTGTCATCACGTGAGCTGTGACCGGCTTCCATCCCAATCCTTTATCTTCACCTTCACTGCTGACACTGACTCTATTTTAAATACAGACCAAAGGAATTCCAATCAAATGTGGACACGGAGGCTGTTACAGTCCCCTGTAAGCACTGCAAATAACCACTGTAACTCTCTCTCTCTCTCTCTCTCTCTCTCACACACACACACACACACACACACACACACACACCGTGTCTGACCCTGAGTGCAGCTCCCACTGGGTGGCTGGGATTGGAGTCTGTAGGGAGCAGACCTGAGCTGGGTAACTATCGATGGCAACGGCTACAAAAGTGCCAGAAGTAGACCGGCCAGCGAGGCTCAGTGGTTGAGCATCGACCTATGAACCAGGTCACGGTTCGATTCCCGGTCAGGGCACATGCCCGGTTGCAGGCTCCATCCCCAGGGGGGGGCGTTGCAGGAGGCAGCTGATCTCTCTCATTGATGTTTCTGTCTCTGCCTCCCTCTCCCTTCCTCTCTGAAATCAATAAAAATATATATTAACACACACACTCACACACAAGTGCCAGAAGTCTCATTCCTGTGGGCTTTCCTCTCTGGGAACAGAGCTGGTCCCTGCAGAAGGTGGGCAGGGGCAGGGGCTTGCTAAGCCGTCCTCCGAGGGGGCCCTCGGGCGGCAGGGAGGAGGGAGGTGCCAGGGGGCAGAGGCAGAAGTGGGGAGGGGGCAGTGCCCTCGAAGGTGAGGGTGAGGGGACCTTCAGAGGCCACCTGGAGGTCTGAATCAGGCCTAGCGCGGGGCGGGCTTCCCAGGCCAACCGTCCACATACAGCCCCAAACGGCAGGAGCAGGGATGAAGAAAAAGGAATTTGAGAGACTTTATGAGAAAGGAAAGGGGGAGAAAGAGTCTGGCCTTTGCCGCACACCAGCCGGTGACTTCGAAAGGCCGCGAGTGGCTGAGCTGGGGGTCTGGCCGGCACCTCTGTGGCTTGGCAGGTTGTGTGGACTCGCTCCCCTGGCCCACGGGCCACCCTCTCTCAGAGGCAACTCTGCCTCTTGGTGTTTCCTGCTGCGCTGGCGGCCACAGCGGTTACTCCTCTAAGCAGGAGAGAGGAATGGGTTCCCGCAAACTCCAGATGAGCCACACGCACGCTGCTATCCTGGCGTACTTTTTAAATACAACATACGGATACACAGACCAGTGATGGCGAACCTTTTGAGCTCGGCGTGTCAGCATTTTGAAAAACACTAATTTGCCCTTGGTGCCGTGTCACATATAAAAATTTTTTGATATTTGCAACCATAGTAAAACAAAGGCTTACATTTTTGATATTTATTTTATATATTTAAATGTAAAACAAAGACTTAAGTTTTTGATATTTATTTTATATACTTAAATGCCATTTAACAAAGAAAAATCAACCAAAAAAATGAGTTCGCGTGTCACTTCTCACACGCGTGTCATAGGTTCGCCATCACTGACATAGATGTACAGATCCTATAACTTAGTGGGTGAGTCTTCCATTGCACCCCAAATGAGGAGCCACTCTCGTTGGTTTAGATAACAAAGTCCCCCAGCACCTCAACTGAGTTTACAGATAAACACATAACTGCCTGTTTTTCTCTGTCAGGATACCACAATTCACACGCAGTCTCACACACACACACACACACACACACACACACACACACACACACAGGAACAGACTTTGCAAAGTCCTCCTGTGACTCACCACTGGTCAGGCTATTAATCAGCCTCCTCAGTGCCTTTCTGAAGCTTTTCTCAGGACGCAGCCTGTGTGTAAGGTTCAGTCTGCACACATCGTTTATGAAAACCCTCAGACCAGACATGTGAGGAGAGAGCGGTGTTTCTGATCTCGCAGACGCCTTGAACCCCATAACCAGAGCCCAGGTAGGATGTGTGTGAAACAGGAAGCAACGAGGAAGGAAAGGCCGCGGCCTGCTCAGGGCCTCAGGGTGAGCTCGCAGAGTCCCCACCTAACACACACTCCCCCCCGCCTTGCAAACCGCCTGGCTGGGTCTGCAAAGAGTCCTGACAGCTTCATGCATTCCTTGCTTTGATCTAAACGTTAAGTAATAAGTATATATATGTCTCTCCAGGAAGAGGAAGGGGAGAAGCAGAGAATGAAGGACAATATTTGGACTCACTCAACACGCATGTGTCACTCATCCAACACGAATACGTCACCCCAGCCCTAACCCTCCCCCAGCGGCTTGTCTACCTGCCGAGGGAACCCCACCAGGTAAGCATTCAGCACCAGCCACACGCAGCCGAAGTGGGCTGGGCCTCTGGGCACGTGCACAGGAACAGCACTGCTCTGCTGTGTTTTGGCATTTTTAACTTCCTGAGCTAAAAGTGCTTATTAAAAACTTAAGTTTGAGGGAAGAAAGCGCCCTGTTGTCCCTCACTGTTCGCAAAGCACTGACCCTCCAGCGATGCCACTTGGATCATTTCTGAGGCAAACAGGATGGACAGGGAGGTGCCCAGCAACCTCAGAACCCCAGGACGTCAGCCCCCGCCCCCAGCTGAGCCCGCTAAGCCTGGCCCCGCCCCACCCCACCCTGCCCAACTCTGCCTGGCTCCGCCCAGTTCAGCCTGTCCCCGTCCCTCCACTCAGCCTGGCCCCGCCCCACCCCACCCTGCCCAACTCAGCCTGGCCCCGCCCAGCTCAGACTGGCCCCGCCCAGCTCAGACTGGCCCCGCCCCTCCACTCAGCCTGGCCCCGCCCAGCAGCCAGGACGGCACCTACTTCCGCTCCTCGAGCAGCGCGATCTCCTTGCGGACCTCGTGGTACTCCTCGGCGATCTGGCAGTGCTGCTTGAAGACCTGCATGGACTCCAGGGAGTCATGTCGGGGCGGCAGAGGCTTGGGGAGCAACAACAAGAAATCAGTCCACGTTCTCGCGTCAGAAGAAACAACCAGCGCCTGCCCTCCGGATGGTCTTGGGGGGTGGGCGTGAGAACAGCATCGTCAGCAGAATCCTGCTGGTTCTAATGGACGGACCCAGAGGTGGCGGACAGCCCCACTCACCTTCGGGAGCCAGTCAGGACCCCAGCCGTCATTCACCCACGGACGGCGCAGGGCCTGTGTCCGTGGGACTGGCTCTCCCGTCCCACAGCCCAGGCGGCATCTCTCCAGGAGCAGCTGGCCAGGAAGGCTGGCTCCTAAAAATGCACCCCGACTGCAGCCGCAGCGAGGAGGGTCTGGGCCCGGAGTGTCTGCAAGGACTGGGGCCACGCGGAAGACCGGCCCGAGGAAAGGAGGGAGGACCGGGCGGCCACGGGGGGCCGAGCTCCTTGCTCTCCACTATCCATGAGGCGCAGGCCGGCATGGCGACCTCACTCCCTGACACGTTGAAAAGCCTCGCTTTCCTGAGTTTATAATCGAATGTCTAGTTAGCAACCAGTTATTCAAATCATCCTTTTTAGACACTCGTTAATAGTCTTTTAAGGAGCTTTTTAAATCACCCTTTTCAGTTATTTATAGAAAAGTGTTATGTGATATCTGAGAAACTGGAGTTCATTGTTAGCTTTCCGTCTCCCTGTCTTCACCGCGGCCTGTACGTGTGAGCTGTGCGTCTGGCTGGTCCTGTTCTCACCTTTTCTGTGTTGGTAACTTGAGAACGAGTGAACTTCTTACTGCTGCGCCTCTCACTACGTTCTGCAAGAATGCAGACTTTGTGGGGTGTCATGGTTAGGGACCCCACTAGGTACAACAGAAATTCTATAGAGTTTCTTGTCTGGTTGATGAATGAGATGACCCTCCTCATTGATCATGAGGCCTCTGAGTAGAGATCTTTTAAAAGAAATAAATGTTTGAAATAGATTTGGAGGAAATGTACCTTCCTGTGGAACATCTGCTGTGTCCTAATTAATGGAAAATCCAATAAAAATTACATTATGTGGCACCTTTCCCTATCGCCCATGAACACTCGCAGCATGAGCTCAGCCTGTTGGGAAACCCCTTTCTATATAGAAATAAACTGGAAAGTCGGGCGGGCAGTCCTACAGTACAGCTTGCCCTGCCAGATAGAGCTGTCGCCAGAGGAATCCAGAACGCCTGGCCCTCCACCTCTGCCCCTGAACTCACCACCTCATCAGTTCTCACCTGTTCCACTGACACGTTACCCGGGATAACAGTGAGGAGGTGAAAGCAATTTACTCTGGGCAGCTGAGCTGTGAGTCAGGCCCCAGGCCTATCCACCCCACCCGTTGGGAGGCGTGTTGGGAGGCGTGTTGGGAGGCCATGCATCTGTGTCCTGACCTCGTGAAACTCGCCAGCTACACCCGGTTCAGTCAGTAACTTGCCATGTGTAGGAGCCTGACCCTCAAAGTCAGCAGTTACCTACGTGATGGCAACAGATCCCAGGGCTCTGCAGCGACTCGTGTGCGCTAGAGGCTACAGACAAGAGCAACCCCCCAAAAAGGGGAACTGTCCTTTGCTGCCACAATTTAAAAGGAAAGCTGAAAATTAGACATAATTTTCTTAAGAAGAGAAAGGTCTCTCCCCACCACCCACCTTTAGCTTTTTATTAACTGGAATTTTTTTCACGGGTTCTTTTATATATATATATATAACTAGAGGCCTGGTGCATGAAATTCATGCATGGGGGTGGTGTCCCTCAGCCCAGCCTACACCCTCTCCAATCTGGGACCCCTTGGGGGATGTCTGTGGGATCAGGCCTAAACCGGCAGTCGGACAGCCCTCTCACAATCTGGGACTCCTGTCTCTTAACCACTCCCCTGCCTGCCTGATCACCCCTAACTGCTCCCCTGCCGGCCTGATTGATGCCTAACTGCTCCCCTGCCAGCCCAATTGCCCCCAACTGCCCTCCCCTGCCAGCCTGGTCACCCCTAACTTCCCTCCCCTACAGGCCTGGTTGCCCCTAACTGCCCTCCCCTGCTGACCATCTTGTGGTGACCATCTTGTAACCACATTGCACAGCACCACCTAGGCTTTTATTATATAGGAAACATACACATATATGTGTATTTATATATACATGATTTTTTATTGATTTCAGAGAGGAAGGGAGAGGGGTACATAGAAACATCAATGAAGAGAGAGAATCATGGATCAGCTACCTCCTGCACTCCCTCCACTGGGGATCGAGCCTACAACCTGGGCATGTGCCCTTGACCAGAATCAAACCCGGGACCCTTCAGTCCACAGGCTGATGCTCTATCCACTGAGCCAAACCAGCCAGGGTTCACAGGTTCTTTTTATTTTACTAGCGCTTCTTAATTGTGGAAAATTCAAAGGCATAATTATGTACAGGTAGTGGGGCCCTACTGCTAAGGGTATTTGGGGAGAGGGGACGTTTCAGGATATTCAATGTCCTCGTGTGCACTTAGCAGCATGGCCATGCTATAATCTATAATGATAAAAGCATAATATGCTAATTAGACCCGATGTCCTTCGTGGCAGGCGGGGGCCAGGGCAGAGGCCCACAGCCGCTGTGGCGGTGGAGGCCAAGCCCCTTGCATAGATTTCATGCATCAGGCCTCTAGTACATAATAATGTTTTAGGGATTTCCCACAGGTGAGAAGCAGCACCGATTCTAAAAGCACCACCAAACGTGCTCAGCGTTCCGGGGAGGAAGCGTGCCAGGGCCTACGAGCTCCTTCTTCACCCCAACCTGCCCCGTAAACGCCGCACCACCCCCAGGCCTCCCAATCTGCGTGAACGCCCTGGAGAGCAAGGTCAGTCTTTTAAAGAGAGGACGGGCGTTATCTTGCACAACCCACCACCACACGGTAAAATGATCGTGTGGTTGCGAGGGGCTGAGCGGGGAGGAGCTGCTGTGTAACGGGGAGCGTGTCCGTCTGCAAGAAGAGGAAGGTCTGCAGAAGGTTCTACAACAGTGTGAATGTGCTTACCACCACCGAGTGCTCACTCCGAAGTGGCTGAGATGGTAGCATTTACAATGTGTGTTTTTTACCAGAATAAAAAAGTTAATGCAGCCCGGCGGCGTGGCTCAGCGGGTGAGCGTCGACCTAGGAACCAGGAGGTCGCGATTTGATTCCCGGTCGGGGCACAGGCCTGGGTTGGGGGCTCCATCCCCAGTGGGGGACGTGCAGGAGGCAGCTGATCCATGATTCTCTCATCATTGATGTTTCTCTCTCTCTCTCCCTCCCTTCCTCTCTGAAACCAATAAAATTTAATGCAAAAAAGAGTTATCCTTAAATCGTCCTGCTGCCCAGCCCATCTCCCAAACTCTGCTGCGGGGAGGCCCTGTCCGAGGCTCACCTCCGTGCACCCGACCTTGCTCCCCGGGAACTTTAACATCGGGAGCCACTAACCCCACGGCTGCCGGGCAAGTGAAAGCACCCTCTGGTCAGCAGGACCCGCTGCACTCAGGGGCGTTCACATCACCGGACACTCACTCCGCCTGGAGGACTCACCAAAGGATTTCTAAACACGTGTCTTATGCATCACTTC